AAAAAATGTTAACTATTCAAAAGTGCTTAAATTAAGTTTATTTGAATAAATGATTTTCTATTCTATTCTATTCTATTCCCACCCCTTCCTTGGTCTACCGCTATCTCTATTCTACCTCAACCCAAAACCTTTATATATTTTCATTTGACTATTTTTTTTAAATGGGAAATACCCAGAACCAACTAAATTATTCAAAGAAACTGTTCCTCTTCTCTTGTCATATTGGATTCAAATATTCCCAGAGAAATGTGGAGATGGCTAGTGTTGCGTTCAACGCAGTGTCGACATGTCAGTACCTCTGGCTACCTCATCTAGGATCATAAAAGGAGCCTAAGTTAATCCTTATTACGTCAGCTACCAGCCAAAAAAAGTCCCGTCAAAATCGGTCAAACCATTTCAGAGATTAGCCGGAACAAACAGACTGACAGACAGACAAAAATTGTAAAAAAACATTATTTTGGTGTATGTATCGTATTTATAGTCATGCATGTAGTAAAAAACGTTTATTTCAATATTACAAACAGACACACCAATTTTATTTATATGTATATATACATGTATATCATGTACGTATAGTAATGGTATTCAAACAAGCTCAGACTGAATGAATCTCATACAATAGGATGTGGCAACCACCATAATACAATTCACACAAGGTTTCTTAAGGGTCGGCAACGCGCACGTGACACCCCTGGTGCTTCAGGCGTACATAGGCTACGGTAACCATTTACCATCAGATGAGCCGTATGCTTGTTTGCCACCATAGTAGTATAAAAAAAAAAAACACAGCGCCATGTAGCCCCAAACTAAGCAAAACTTGTGTTATGGGTACTAGACAACTGATATAAACACTCAAATATATATTTTTGTAAACATACCTAATATAAATAAAATACACCCACCACACCTATGCAAGCAATCATGCGCATGAATACAAATTGTACAACCTAGCATCGTACATTATTTCGCAACCTAAACATTTCATATTTCACCAAAAACCAGTTCGCATTTGGCATCCGCAGTTATAATCAGTATCTGTCATAATAATTTATCAATACCTATCAGAAACTGTTATAGTTTCGCCACAAATAGTGCTAAGAACCCGCGACCATGGGAAGTAAAGCGGTATGCTCAACCACTACACCAGGGGGGAAGGGGATTGTTAGTAATGTGGACTCATGCCCCCATTACTAGCAATGTACCATGTCAGGTTGACCTCCACGCGGTTCCCCCTGGAAACCATTGTGACAAATTCTTAGTGCATTTGTCACGATGGGCGAACTGACCTGACTTCATGCTCATCTTATCATCCTCCACTGGTACCCCGCCAGCGTAAACCATTAGCGCAGGCGGCTAAAAAAAACACTACACCACAAAACCACAGTGAAACCAACTATACCTATATCAAATTTTACGTTAGTTCCTTTAGGCAGAATGTGTAGAGGACCTTTGCCATACATCCTCAACGGCACAGATTTAATATTAAAATTTATCCTTGTATTGCATAGTTATTATTAATATTCTCTATTACTAAATCACGCACATCATTGTAAATGTTTATTAATTTCAATTAACCGCAGCTTGTCGTTTCCTTATAAATATATACATGCCTAGGGTTGCCAACCGTACTTTATCCTACTTTATTTTTGGTAATTATATTTTAAAGTTTATTTGGTATGTAACAATAATAGAAATAATAGAAATAATTTTTAAATTCTAAATTACATTATATAGGTTTATATTATAGGTACCGAATAGGTCTCCGCTCAGTATATATCGTGACTGGGTGCCACGACGCTGGTATCAGCGGATACCTTCATACATATAATAAATATAATAATAATACACATACATACGACGACCTCGGTGGTCTAGCGGTCTAGCACACCGCTTTACGTCCGATGGTCGTGGGTTCGATTCCTCGCACGACACAAACATTTTGTATTCATGAGTATGATTGTTTATATCGGTCTGGGTATTTTCTATGTATAATATGTATGTATTTACGAAAAAAAATGTATATATGTATCAGTCGTCTAGTATCTATAACACAAGCTTTAGCTACCTTTTCTACTTTTACATACAAATAAAATATGCAATAATATGTAATTTCTATTATATGTATGTACTATTCATATGTACTGGCCATGTATGTCGAAGTAATGACGACAGATGGACATACAGATCCCTGATGTGGCGACCTAGGATGGGAAGCAGAAGCGTAGGCAAACCAACCACAAGATGGTCTGATGACATCAGGAAGATGGCAGGGCCGACCTGGACAAGATGCGCCACAGATAGAACTAAGTGGTAAACTATGCAAGAGGCATACGTCCAGCAGTGGACTACTTTATGCTGAAAGAGAAGAGAGAGAGAACCTTCACTGTGATGCGTAAAACAAAATACTCATTATAGGCACTTAACGATTTATAATTACTGAACGAAATGTGAGATGTCAGTTGTGAGTTGTGACATTTGTCACAGCTCACAGATGTCACTCACTATCCACGAAATTGTACAAAAATGATCCGCTGGTTTTGTTTATAATTGAAGATTAAAAAGGAATTGTTTATTTATTTAAATTTAAATGTTGATTGTCAAACAAGCTTTGCAACATTTAAAGATAACAAAAAGTTGTTAGCATCTTTCTAAGAGCACACAAAAATACGTTTTTAAAAGCAATATAAATGTAAAATTTGAAATATACTTTCTTTTTCCTAATACTTTATTTTTTTTTATCCAAACTAGTTTATACGTTTTTTTAAGTTGGCAACCCTATACATGCCTGTATGGTGCGTATTTAGATAGCATATGTGCATATTAGCGGTCAAGATCGCTGGAAGGCATTGGATGCGAGCAGCGCAGGACCGATCGTCGTGGCGATCTTTGGGGAAGGCCTATGTCCAGCAGTGGACGTCTTCCGGGCTGCGATGATGATGATGATGATGTGCATATTTAGTGTTGTGTAAATGAAACTGAGTCAATTTAATACGGCATTTAATTAAGACAGATCTTTTTAGTCATTCAAATTCAATATCTTTATTCATGTAGGTCTATTACGGACTCTTATGATATGTCAAATCTACCGTCAGTTCGGAATGATTTTGAGATGAGAAGAACTGACAAGAAACTCAGCTCGTGTTCTTTTCAAATAAATGTTGTACATGTTTACAATAATAAGTAAATATTATAAGTATTTGTTTATGATTCAAAGATTAGTTAGTGGATTGTATATTATTTGATTTTATATTTACTTCCATAAACAATTTACAAAAACTATTGAATTATTACTATTATTTTCCAGTGACTCGCTTTGGATATTCCTCGGGATTTCATGACTGTATATATTAAACGACAAACATCGATATAAATTTTTGTCGGATTTAAGTGTTAATCAAGATTCTAGAGTGACATACTTTATAATGATATTCTATTAATTTTTAAAAGGTACACCTTATTGTTCAAGGCTCCAAAAGAACAATGTACCTTTTTTATTGAGTTCATTCCGTAGCTGAGCGAAATTCTTAAAGGATAGCATCTTGATTTAGTACTTAACTGTTCCTATACATTGATAAAGGTCCTGGCGCCAACAACATAGTATATGTTAATTTCTAGTTGTCTGTCTGTCTGTTTGTTCCGGCTAATCTCTGAAATGGTTGGACCGATTTTGACGGGACTGTTATTGGCAGATTGCCGATGTAATAAGGTATATAAGTAACTTAACTATATAAGTAACTTAGGCTACTTTTATTTTAGAAAATTAAAGTTAAATTTCACGCGGACGAATTCGCGGGTACATCTAGTATTAATATAAAGTAAAATAATAATAAAAATTAATTAAACAAACTCTACAGCTTTATATTAGTAGCAATTAACATAGAGTATATGTTAATTTTTTTAAATGGAGACTACATTTTTGCTTTGAAAGCATACTCTGGTTTGAAGTAGTGAAATTACAAAGTGATGAAACAGCTAAATTCTTAAGAATGCGTGACATGCAAAGTAAAATGTATTTTAAGATAATCGTGGTTCCGTTCATTTTTATTATTAGCTTATTCCCTATTTTGTCATATAAAAAAGCTACATCGCATAAATCTTTTAATAACGTACACATTTGCAGTTGTCATTAGGTTTCATGGTACGGAGTTGCGTGCGTGTTGCGAGTGTTGTTGAGGCAGGTTCGTGGTTTACTATTGTTTACTACGAGCAGTGGCACGTTTTAAAATATCCGGCCTTCTCAATGTTGACGAAATGTGTAATGCACGCGGCCAGTAACAGGTGGTGCCGGGGTAACGCTCGTGTTATACGATGCAGAACAGCTGGTGTTAGCTGTAAATTCGTACTTGTACGTAGTTTTTACAAATCATTTTTTATAAGTCGAGTCGATATATGTTGACAAAGGGACATATTAATCCTACACCTGAGTAGCTATGACGTGGTCTGGTGTTTCGAGTAATCATGCTCACTAAAATGTCCAGATTTCTGGAGGCCGGGTCATTGGGCTTCCTAAAATATGGTCGAGAGCAGTGATGGCAGCTCATCCGCCATACTCGTGAACGGGTGCTGCTTGTAGGGACTGGTCTGCTCTAATCACTATTACTGATTTCCTCTTATTAATTGTTTAACCAGTTGTTGTGTATTCAATATTTTTTCTATTTGATTATTTAATTGAATTAGTGCTAATCGGTAGTTTGTATTCACACACTTAAACTTAAATTATAAAGTAAGAATGAAATTATTTAAAAGAGCAACACACAAGTTTCTTGCTCGTTCTTCTTGTGAACGAGCGGTAGATTAAAAGAAATGTGATGATTATTCAAGTGCTTCAATGTAAGTTTATTTGAATAAATTATTTTCTATTCTATTCTATCCCGGGTCACAAGTCCTAGGAACTACTCGACATGATGGACCCGGCACCCAGACGATGGATCCCATAGAATATTAATTCTTCTCTCTTTTAATATTATGCTGTTACTTATGGACATATATCGTGCTTTCAGCAAACGTCGCTGTCGACGAAGGTGGCACAGCGGATGTCGTTCGGGCTGCTGGGCGGCAAGACGGCGGCTCGGTGCGAATTCGTGCGCATGAAGGGCCCCAGCGGCAAGGGACACGCGGAGATGGCTGTATCGCGGCCCCACGCCGCTGGAGTCGACACGCCCAGCTCCGAGCCCGGCCTGGCCGCCACCGACATGTGGGACAGCGATTGGGATGAAGATCCCGAGGAGATGTTCATCTATAGGCATCAGGTGCGTATTCTTGAGTTAGTACTTCGAGCCGGATTGGTTTTTGTGTAAGATAGTACTATAGTGATGTGTATCGGTTGCAGCGGCGGCTCAGCGACCCGAGTGCGAACTTGAACAACTTCGTGCGTGGCGGATGGCGCACCCGCGACCCGCGCGACAAGAGCCGCTCCGAGAACGAGGGTCTCGACTCGCTCGCCGGCGGACTCGCGGAGGTGGAGGCCGGCGACCTGCGTGACGGTCAGTACCGATCCATTCTCCAGTATTTCCCACCCTCTCCCATCCGGCATGCTCGCTTGTACGCTTCGCATTAAAATCGTCCAGGCGTATGCGTCGCTACGTCCTTTACTGTTCCGTTTCGTTCAGTGAGAGCACATTCCGTACGAGCACCCTAAATGTTGCGTAGCTTTCAGTGTTTACCGTAGTAGTAGAACGCTCGGAGGAAGCCGGCCGTGGTGGACAGTTAGAGATGGTAGAATTCGCTCGAAATTAATGAACGCTGCGTCGCGCGGTGGTTCGCGAGTCCGCGGCGTAACGCGCGTGTGTTGTGTGTCCGTAGAGGAGCGCCGCGGCTCCCAGGCTTCCTCCGTGCGCTGGCGGTGCTGCGGCGCGCGGCTCGGGCCGCGCATGCGCGACGTGTACGCGCGCGCGCAGCCCGACGTCTCCACGCCCGCCTGCCTCCACGTGGTGTCCCCGCGCCGCGCGCGCCCCTCGCGCCCCGCGCCCCCGCGCCCGCGCCCCCTGCCCGCGCCCTCCTCCTCCGCGCCCGACCTCGAGGTGGCGGCCGACGCGCTCGACGAGCGGGACCGGCCGCCGCCGCCGCCGCCGCCGCCGGACGCGGCCGGCCGGCTGACGGTGCGCGGCCAGGAGGAGCTGCCCAGCGGCGAGGCGGGCTGGCCGGCGGACGAGGGGGGCGGTGCGGGGGGCGCGGAGGGGGGCGGCGGCTGCAACGCAGGCGCCCGCGCGTACGTGACGCTGCCGCGGCGGCGCGGAGTGGGCGCGGCGCTGTTCCGCCGCCGACGGCTGCCGCCGCGCCGCACGACGCCGGACGGAACCGACGTGTACTACTGGTGCGACGTGCCGCGCCGCTCGCCCGCCGGTACCGTCCGCAATCGATCGCTGCCGACCGCACGCAGTCGCGGTCGATCGCAGCCGATCGCTGCTGCCCGCATACACTCGCTTATTTGTCACATTGCTGTGTCCCCCATAAAACATTAGTGCATGTAGTGCGTATGTTCGACAGAGCTGGACGACGGTGCGTACAACCCGCTGTGGGCGATGCGCGGGTTCACGCAGACGTTCCACCTGTGGAAGGAAGGCAAGCGGCAGCAGTCGACGCCGCTCAACGCGTTCCTCACCTACGTCACGCTGCCCTGGTGGAGCATCGCCAAAGGTGACAATCTTTCCTCTTCTATTCATTACAACGTTTACTTTTTCTTTCTTTTTCGTTATATAATTGAAAAAGTTGGTATTTTTTTTAAAACTCGGACTTAAGACTTTGTAACGATTTCACCAAATATTCGTAAAAAAACACCGTCATAACTTTCCTTTACACTACTCATTAATAAACTAAACTCACTAGCTGTTCCCGCGACTTTGTCCGCGTGGAATTTAACTACATTTTTTAAAATAAAAGTAGCCTAAGTTACTCAGCTACATCAGATACCTGCCAAAAAAAGGCCCGTCAAAATCAATCCAGCCATTTCAGAGATTAGCCGGAACAAGCAGACTGACAGATAAAAATGGTAAAAAATGTTATTTCGGTGTATGTACCGTATTTATATTGATATGCATGTAGTAAAAACGGTTACTTCAATATTACAAACAGACACTCTAATTATATATGTTTGAATCGATCTGTTTTCTGTGTATAATATGTATTTATTTATAAAAAAAAAATGTATCCATGTATTTATATCAGTTGTCTAGTACCCATAACACAAGCTCTACTTAGCTTGGGACTAGATGGCACTGTGTGAATTATCCTGAGATATTATATTATATTATACTAGCTTTTGCCCGCGGCTTCGATCGCGTTATTTTATTCCTTTAGGGATGGAATTTATCAAAATCCTTACTTAGGGAATGCCTACGTCATAGTAGCTTTATGCATGCAAAGTCTCAGACCGATCGGTTTAAAATTGACAAAGTTTCATACAAACTTTCATCCTCTATTTTATCCCCTTGGGGGTAGAATTAATCAAAATCCTTTTTTAACGGATACCTACGTCATAACATCTACCTGCATGCCAAATTTCAGCCCGATCCGTCCAGTGGTTTGGGCTGTGCGTTGATAGATCACTATGTCAGTCACCTTTGAGTTATATATATTTATATGTATAGATTAACATATATATTTTATAAAAATCGTTAAAAATACCACACTATAGTTACAATCCTAACGTACTCAATACTAAAGTACAACATAAGAATATGTTACGCTTGTAATACATGTGCGTAAATTCAAATTCAGATTAAAAAAACATTTATTCATGTAGGACATTTTAGCCGTTTATGAACGTCAAATTTTTTATATTATGTTTCATTATTACATAGTAACAAAACATTTTTTTTATTTAAAAACGTATCACTAAATTCTTCTTTCTTTCTTTCTAAATATATTAACATTGGGTTACAGACATCCTGGACCACCGCGAGGAGCCGATCCTGACGTTCTGAACGAAGTTACAGTTACCATCCACCGTCAACATGCGAGCCACGGACGAGCCCCACACGCTGTACTGCGACATACGGCCAGCTTTTTTTATATATATACGTATTAGATTAAACAATAGACAATTTTCTAACATTGTATTAATGTAATAAACTGAATACGATATTGAAATCTTAAAGAAAAGAGATTCCTTCTTAAAAAAAACCGGTAACGTACTTGCATAAATAAAATCGTATTTTAAACCTTCAAGAAAAGATATATCTTCTAAAAAACCGGTAACGTACTTGCATAAATTGAAATCGTATTTGAAACCTTCAAGAAACGATATATCTTATAAAAAACCGGTAACCTACTTGCATACATTGAAATCGTATTTTAAACCTTCAAGAAAAGATATATCTTATAAAAAACCGGTAACGTACTTGCATACATTGAAATCGTATTTTAAACCTTCAAGAAAAGATATATCTTCTAAAAAACCGGTAACGTACTTGCATAAATAAAATCGTATTTTAAACCTTCAAGAAAAGATATATCTTATAAAAAACCGGTAACGTACTTGCATAAAGTGAAATCGTATTTTAAACCGTCAAGAAAAGATATTACCTTTAAAAAACCTTGCAATTACCCTGGTGGTGCTGCTCATGGGCGGCGGTAATACCTTACCATCAGGTGAGCCGCAAGCTTGTTTGTCCCTATACTATAAAGTTAACCTCACAGAGATGGGCTAACTGACCTGACCTCATGCTCATCCTATCATCCTCCACTGGTGCCCTGCCAGCGTAAACCGTTGGCGCAGGCAGGTGCACCATTCCATTATCATCCATAAAAAAAAACCTCACAGAGAATTTTGTAAGAAGTCACACTATTTCGATCTCGCGTGTAGTCAGGCCATATCATTCCGCTAGTTAGATTAAAAAAAATGGCAATATATAAACAAAATAAATGATATTATTGGTATTAAATAGAGATGAAACGGATAGCAGTTTGACCTGATACCGGATATTCGGCCAATCATGTGACCGAATAGCCGGATTTCCGGCGGAACTTATCTAACTAATAAATTCATTTTCTTTCTATAACAGTCATTTACTATTGAGTTACTTTTAAATTTTTAATAATTTAAAAGTAAAACTAATTTTATTCCTTAAGTAATACTAAGACTAACTAAATAAAGAAAAATTATTACTTTAAAAAAATATATTTTACCCAGATTTTTTTTAATCCGGCCGACTAGTAGTTATCCGGTATTCGGCAGGATAGTGTTAAGGCCGCCGGATAGGCCGGATACCGGATAGTTACCGGATATCCGTTTCATCTCTAGTATTAAATGTGTTTTGGTTATTTGTGTAATTGATTATTATTATATACATATATACATACATACATAACATACAAACGTACTGTTTGTATCGGTCTGGGTGTTTTCTATGTATATTAGTGCGCGTCCATAAATTACGTCAGATGTTAAAGGGGTGGATGAGGTCGAGTCAAATCTCTTTGAGCTGTGTTTTTATATTTGAGCCTAAATAAATTAGTGCTGGTTGGTAGTTTGTATTCACACGTTTCGACTTGTAAAATGTGAACTTACAAGGATTGTTTAAAAGAGCAACACACAAGTTTCTTGCTTATTCTTCTTGTGATGAGACAGCTTTCCGAATGAGCGGTAGATTTAAAAAAATGTTGACTATTCAAAAGTGCTTAAATTAAGTTTATTTGAATAAATGATTTTCTATTCTATTCTCATCTAATCTTATCTTGGAGAGAAGGACCCCCCCTTCTCGGCAAATATTACGCAATTCTTTTTCTGATTCAAACAAAAAAATATATACTGTTTTGGTCCATTTAATAGTACATGCTTATTACACTTATAACTCTCAGCAATATTGATTACTAGTCTTAACTAGTTGTATATAAAAGCGCGAAGTAATTTTTTTTCTTTTTACAATAACAATCCCAACGCTTTTACGTAAGAAACACACATTTTGAAAAATCTCACGTGAGATTGGTGGAGGGGGTTGAATAAAATCTCACGACATCTCACCAGAGAAGGGGACAGAAAATTAAAAAAAAACACCTCACATATTAACAAAAAGAAATATACATATAAGTGTATATATCAGTTGTCTAGTACCCATAACACAAGCTTTGCTTTGCGTGGACTTGATAGTGCTGTGTGAGATGTTCAGGCATAATATTAGTATCATTAGGTAGTATAAAACAAAGTCGCTGTCGCTGTCTGTCCGTCCCTATATATGCTTAAATCTTTAAAACTACGCAACGGATTTTGTAGCGGCTTTTTCAATTGATAGAGTGAATCAAGAGGAAGGTTTATATATATAATACATGTATACCCGTGCGAAGCCGGGGGCAGTGGGTAGTTATTAATATAATAATAAATAACCCTGGACAATTAACACAGCGCCATCTAGTCCCACGATAAGCAAAGCTTGTGTCATGGATACTAGACAACTGATATAAATACTTAGATATTTTGTTTTTGTGAATACATACACAATATATATAGAAAACACTGAGATCGATACTGTTTGTATCGTACTCATGAAATATAAAATACAAATGTTTTTGCACCGTGCGAGGAATCGAACCCGCGACCATCGGAAGTAAAGCGGTGTGCTAAACCGACCACATATTTTAATTACTGAGTATTTTTATTTTATATTTTTTACGTATTCTAAAACAAATCATTAATATTTTCTCGAAAAGCAAAATAAATCAACACATAATGCACTTGATTTTATAAATGAAATATTTTTTTATAAAATTTTTAATATATTATTTTTATTTAAAGTAATATCTGTAATTTTTGTTTGTGGCGACATCCTTTAGTCTGTGTCTTATTATTATTATTATTAATTCTAAGTTGTTTTAATAGACATTGTTAAGTAACTTGCTAAGTTGCTAAATCTAATTGTTAAGTAATTTTGTGAGGGCGTAACTGTTCGTATGTTGTCAATAATGATCGCATTATTTTCTAGTCATTGAGGCCTAAACTTGATTTTATTAAGTGTGCTGTGTAACTGTATTGTCCCACCAAATAGGTTAATTTAATACTAGCTGTTCCCGCGACTTCGTCCGCGTGGAATTTTTTTTTTTTAAATAAAAGTAGCCTAAGTTACTCCTTATTACATCAGCTACCTGCCGATAGAAGTCCCGTCAAAATCGGTCCGGCCATTTCAGAGATTAGCCGCAACAAACAGACAGACAGACAAAAATTGAAAAAAATGTTTTTTTCGTGTATGTACCGTATTTATATTCATATGCGTAGTAGAAAAATGTTTTTTTCAATGTTACAAACAGACACTAAAATTTATTTATACGTATAGATATAATATTATTTACATCCGCCAATATTTAACTACTTGCATGCTTTGCGTGTAGTTTCCACAGCGACGTAGTGCCAAAGTCTGTTGCTAGATGTAGCCACAATATTATATTACGATAATATCAGATTCAAAATATCTCTATTCATGTAGGTCTATTACAGACTCTCATGATATGTCAAATCTATTGTCAGTTCGGAATGATTTCGAGATGAGAAGAACTGACAAGAAACTCAGCTCGAAAATATTGTGATATCACAATGCAATATGCAACTATGAATATTGGTGTTTGTTATGCCATTAATTGAATCCTATATTTCATAATTTTATATGATACTAGCTATCACGGCAAACGTTGTTTTGCCTTAAAATAAAAAAAAAATTAGGGTTGGACTACCCCTAACATTTAGGGGGATGAGAAATAGATGTTGGCCGATTCTCAGACCTACTCAATACGCTCACAAAATTTCATGAGAATCGGTCAAGCCGTTTCGGAGGAGTATGGGAACGAAAACTGGCACGAGAATTTTATATATAAGATATTTATGTGTCGAAGTCTACCTATACGCTAGGTAATAATATTGGATGCAATAGATAAAAAGATACAGTAAGCAGAGAAAGAATTGTAGAGAATAGAGTACTGTTCAAAGACTTTATTTGTATTTTATTGATTAGTTTTTTAATTTCTTTTCTATGACTGATCTGTTTTTTATTATTTTATATGATATTGAAATAAGTATAACTGTGTGTGTAACTATTAATTGATTTATTGCATATAAATAAAATAATTGTATCTCAGGACAATTCACACAGCGCCATCTATTACTAAGCTATGTAGATCTTGTTTTATTACTAGACAACTGATATAAATATATAAATACATACATAATATACACCCAGACCGATACAAACAATCATACCCATGTATACAAAATGTTTGTGCCGTGCGAGGAATCGAACCAGCGACCATCAGAAGTAAGACGGCGTGCTAAATCGCTAGACCACCCAAGACGAAAATAGGAAAGATTTGTATTTTCGTATGTTTGTAACTAATATATTCAAAACTACTGGATCTATATCAGAGATTATAACACCACTGGAATCTTACAGTATTCCTGAGTAACATATGCTATATTATTTTATATGTATGTATGTAGGGATGGAAGGAAAATATTTTGAAATGAATTCATAAAATAATTATGTATATTCACATAACTGTGACTGATTTGTTTTGTTACAAGTAACTATTTATTTACATCAATATTCTGTATTCACACGAAATTCTTAATAATGTAATTCTGAACCTTTATATAAAAGAACACTGAACTTTCTTGCTTATTGTTTTATTCTGCGTTCCGAATGAGTGGTAGAATAAAAACCATGTTTATTCAAAAGTGCTTATATAAAGTTTATTTTAATAAAAATTATTTAAGTTTCTTGCTCATTCTTCTTGTTATGAGTCTGCATTCCGAGCGGTAGAACTCAAAGAAATATGTCTATTCAAAAGTGCTTATACTAAGTTAATTTTAATAAAGATTATTTAAGTTTATTGCTCATTCTTCTTGTTATGAGTCTGCATTCCTAATGACTGGTAGACTCAAAGAAACATGTCTATTCAAAAGTGCTTATATTAAGTTTATTTTAATAAAGATTATTTAAAATTTCTTGTGATGAGTCTGCGTTCCAAATGAATGGTCGACTCAAAGAAACATGTCTATTCAAAGTGCTTATATTAAGTTTATTTTAATAAAGATTATTTAAAATTTCTTGTGATGAGTCTGCGTTCCGAATGAATGGTCGACTCAAAGAAATATGTCTATTCAAAAGTGCTTATAGTAAGTTTATTTTAATAAATATGATTTACATAATTGAACTACCTCAGTACTGTGGCGGTGGGCCTGTGTAGCGTACTGCTGTGTGAGTCTAAAACTAAGGAATGTGTAA